AAGGCTGTGTGTGTGTGTGTGTGTGTGTGTGTGTGTGTGTGTATGTGTCTGACTCTCTCTCTCACACACCCCCCCCCAAAAAAAAGAAGCTGAAAGGAATAAAAATTTGGCAGACATTTGGAATATTAGCTGCTGTAAAATTACACAGACTGGGCTCTGGGAATGTCTCCAAGGCAAACTGGTTTCTCTGGTTCTCAGGTCACTAGAGTTTTAACCAAGACAATCTGCTAATGGCTCAGATGACTACCCTACTCTGCCAACTGGAATGATATGCTGTCACCATCTAACAAGGACATTACAGAAAGTTTAGGCTCCTAAGGCATTATCGGTCTAGTTTACAGGACAGACCTAATCATTTTTCAAAAATGCAGCTGCAGCTGTGGCTACTTTATTGCATAGACAGTTTACTTCAGGAGTATTTCAAATATACTGAAAAGAACAGAAAATGCTCTAACACTAATGTGTCACTTCTCAGCTTTATCTTCTCTATGGTAATGGAGACCGAACCTAGGGCCTTATACGTGCTAGGCAAGCACTCTACCACTGAGATGCATCCCAACCCTTTGTCATACTGGTATACTTTAAGGACTAACGTGATCAGAGCTGAAACCCTTTGCACACCCCACACTTCAAACCCCACCTGCCCTCTCCCACCAAATTAACAAACGACTAGTTCTTGGTGTTTTCTTTCTGGCTCTGAGACAGGGTTTCACATAACCAAGGATGGCCCTGAACTTATGATCTTCCTGCCTCTACCTCCCTTACCCAAAGTGCTGGGATTACAGGAGTGATTCACCACCATCAGTTCATTTTCTTTTCTGAAGCAAGATCTCACACTGTTGCCCAGGCTGGCCTCAAACTCAAAGCAATCCGCCTGCCCTCAGCCTCCCCAAGTGCTAAGATTACAAGAGTGCACACCGCACCCAACATGTTTTCTTTGTGTTTTCATATTCATTCACATTAAGTTTGCTCTTGTGAGGTGTGTGAATACAGGGAATGGAACCTATGGTATGTGAGGCAAGAGCTCTACCACTGAGCTACAGCTCCAGCTTCCAAGTTTACTTAGTAAAACACAAAAATTAATTCCCTAGGGTTCCAGTGTTTGATCCCATTGTTTTGACTATTGCTATACAGTCAAACCCTGTCTCAAAATACAGAAATTGTCAAGACAAACCTGTAATCCTCCTGTCTCAGCCTTGGGAATGCTAGGATTATAGGTGTGACCACCACACCCCAGTTGATATTGAGAATTGAAGGGTATTTTAAACTGCCGTGCATGATCTTTGTGCCTAACCACACACAGGACACCAAAGGCCTGAACAGTCCCCCCTTGCTGCCCGCCCATCTGTTTTCTTCAAAGATTAGCACACATTTTCTACAAACAGTCCAACAGTAAACACAGGCCTTGCATGACAGTGTAGGGTCATGCAAAGTGATCCTATAAATCAGTAGAGACTGCTCTGGGATCTTTCATTTTTTTTGAAGTCTGACTTGGTCCCACACAGCTGTAATTCCAGCACTCTGGAGACAGAAGGACCAGAAATTGAAGGCTAGTCTGGGCTACATAGTAAGAAAAACCTGTTTCAAAATAAAACAAATTATCAAAACATTAAAAATTGTTGGTTACAGGCTGGATGAGCCTTTAGTTCCAGCCCTTGCACTCAGGAGACAGAGGCAGACTCAGACTGATCTGAGTTGGAGGCTAGCCTGGTC